AGTCGGACGCTTAACCGACTGCGCCACCCAGGCGCCCCCCGCCCGTCTCTTTTTAAGGAGTATATAATTTTAAAAATTAGACCCTATCGATTGTACGTGTTTTACAACTTGTTTCTTTCACCGAAGGGATTCATGAATATGTTTTATATCAACGAATTCTCTGCCGCGACATCAGTTTGCACGGCGGCTCAGAATCCCCTGTGCGGCTGTGTCTGGCTTCGTTTCTCCCCGAGCCCGGTGTTGGCCAGTCAGGCTGCAGGTGGGTTTTTGGAGCATTTGTAGATTGCTGCAGGGGCACCTTTGGAACGAAATGGCTCCACACATAAAAGAGCGGGGACTCAGAGTCGTCTTAATGACACCAGGGCAGTGCGGACGCGCTCCTCCTGGCCGGAGAGCTGGATGGTTTCCACCGGCCTTCTTGGAAGGATTTGCGGGAGGCCCAACCAGGTGCCCCTCGGGGACACGTCTTGCAGGCTGCCTGCCCACCTCTCCATGCCTGAGCGAGATGATAAGCTGAAGCACAGAGGCTGGCCTGGGGTGCTGGTTCGGGGTTCCTCAGGGGCTAGCGGGACAAGCTTCGTCAGCCCGTTGCTTGGGGGGGAAGGTGGGGGACCCCCAGGGGCAGAGGTCCTGGGAGCCGCATTCTGGAACTCTAGGCTCGGCGAGGTCTGCCCTAGATCCCCCCCTTAGCTTCCCGGGGTCCAGACCACGTGTCCTTTCCCCAGAAGTCCCTGCTGCCCCCTCTGCTTGACTGTCCATTCCCTTCAGCGGCTCTGTGCTTCTCAGGCCGTCCGGAAATGGATACCCGGGTCACTTTCCTTGCCCTTCTGCAGGGCTTGACCTGCAGGGGCTGCCTGTCGGACCCCGTCCCTGGGGCCGGGGTGCCCAACCTCGGCCCCACATCTGGGCCACCCGGGGCCCTAGACAGATTCCTGGGCCCCACTCTCTTCCGTTCCAGAGCCTCCGCAGGTGGGCCTGGGGTGCCGGGTCTGCGTTCCGGAACTCCGCCAGTGAGTGAGCAAGCTGATGGGCTGCTGGTGTCGGGGAACGTGTCCAGCCCGAGAGTGGAGCTGGTGGAGAGCGTGGGGTCAGAGCGGGCCGCGGCTGGGCGGGGACGGACCCAAGACCTCCACCCCGGTGCACACCCCACACCTCTGCCCGGTGTCCCCTGGGCTGCCCCATCCACCCCTTGCCCCTTCCTTGGGCGCGCATGTGGCTCCTCCCCGTGGGCCTGGGCCTCTGGGGACGCGTCCTTCTGCTGTGACCCCCTGCCCCGCCCTGGGCACACCTTCCTTGGCCCCAGTGAAGTGGTCGGTGATTGCTTAGCCCAAAGGTTTGAGCCAGTTGTGGACGGGGAAGAGGGGAAGCCGTTCCATTCATTAACAGAGGCAGGCGAGAAGTGGAGATAAAAGTTGGGAAAATGTCATCCTTTGACATTTACGTTTTCAGGAGAGCCGGAGGGGCCGTGGGCTGGGAGGTGTTTGATCATCGCGGGACGGGGCCGCCGGCCAGGGGTGCTGTGGGGCCCACGCAGGCTCCTTGCTCCCCTGCAGGGCGGTGCGTCCTGCGCCCTGTCTTTCCCCGGGGGGCTGCCGCCACCCCTCGTCTGACCCCACGACTGTCTCGGGAGGCCCCACGCCTGCTCCCGGCAGCCCCTGCCCTCGGTCACTGCAGTGGGGGTCCCTGCGGTGGGCTCCCCCCCCGCAAAGCACTCCTGTTTCTGCCCAGATGCCAGCAGGGAGCACGCAGCCCAGGCAGACCCAGGACCAGGGCACCTCCGGGAGAGATGTTGACCCTGGCTCGACGGGAACCCAGAGCCGAGTCCCTCACGTTGCCGATGACAGATTCCAGCCTGGAGCAGAGTGTCTGTGGGCTCGGGGCGGAGAAGCCACTGTGTCTTCTGCTGGGACGGTGGGCGCGTGGACACGTCAGAGACCTGTCCCCTGGCTTTGGCTCGCTCCCCCGCGCAGCCCCTCCGTGCCTGGGGCTCCCTCTGTGTGGGGCAGAGGCTTTGTGCTAACCCCAGGTCAGGAGACAGGTTCCGGTCTCCTGGGCCAGGGCTGACCGATGGCTGCCGAGCGTGGGATCTGCCAGGAGGACTCTGGCCCCTGTCCGGCCGGCTGGGGAGGTGTGCGGCAGGGGATTAACAGCGTCGGCCGTGGAGGTGTGGGAGCGGGTGGCTTGTGCCCCCGAACCCTTCAAGCTCTGCCATTCATTCCTAGCTTCTAGCAAATAACCGTAAGCGCATAGCAATAATGCTTTGTTCTTTGTTCTCCCTGAACGCCTGGAGCTCTCACGAGCCGAGAGTAACAGCCAGAGCCAGGAGGCCCATTACTCGCGAAACACCCTTGGAGCACACGGGCGCGGGGCCGTGGCCGGGCCAGCCGAGTCCTCTCTGGGGAGGCACAGAAGGACTCCGACGTTCTGCAGTTTCCTGACTCCCACGGCCCGGCCCCTCACGTGTGGCCACCTCCGGGAAGACCCCTCACGGCACTTACCTCGTTGGCCGAGGTCGCGGACTGAGCAAAGGGGCTTTCTGTACGGCTTGGGTTTTTCCCTCCCGTTCAGAAAATTGCAGCTAAAACAAGTCTGTGAAATGCGTCTCCGCTGGGGGCTTTAGGCAAGAGACCTTGCCTCAGTTTGCCAGGCTCCCAAATGTGCATAGCGGGCCTGACCGGGTAGGGTGAGGATTCCCCAGGACGGTGCACGTAAAGGCCTGATGGGCTCGCTTCCTGGGGCAGCCAGCAGCCGGCAGGGGTGTCCGTGCCTTTAGCCGGTGGTCATCGTGGGCCATGTTCATGGGCCCTGTCGCCAGACACACACAGACTGTACCCACACGCACACACGCGCGCGCACACACACACACGCGCGCGCACACACACACACACACACGCGCGCGCACACACACACACACACACACACACACACACACAGGCGGGCACATGCACACTTACACAAGGAAGCCTCAAAGCCCAGGCTTGCGTCTGCTTCGTCAGCATGTGATGTCTGGCACAGCAGGTGCCCCGTGAATTCTGTAACGAATTGTGAGCAGCTCAATGCGTTTTATTTTATTTTATTTTATTTTATTTTATTTTATTTTATTTTATTTATTTTTAATTAACCAATTTATTTTTTTAACGTTCACTTATTTTTTGAGAGAGAGATACAGTGTGAGCAGGAGAGGGGCAGAGAGAGGGAGACACAATCCGAAGCAGGTTCCAGGCTCCGAGCTGTCCGCACAGAGCCCGACGCGGGGCTCGAACTCACAAACCGTGAGATCACGACCTGAGCCGAAGTCGGTCGCTCATCCGACTGAGCCACCCAGGCGCCCCGTGTTTTTTTTTTATTTATTTAAAAATATTTATTTATTTTTGACAGAGAGAGAGTGAGAGAGAGCGCACACAAGCGGGAGGGGCAGAGAGAGAGGGAGACAGAGGATCCCAAGCAGGCTCTGTGCTGAGAACAGAGACCCTGACGCAGGGCTCGAACTCACAGACCGCAAAATCACGACCTGAGCCGAAGTCAGATACCTAACTGACTGAGCCACCCAGGCGCCCCTCATGTGTTTTATACTCTGTGCTCCAGGGTGGCCACTCCCCTCTCTCTGCCTCAGTTTCCCCGTAACCCTCTGTGGAGCCTCACGCCTGCTTGCTGCCTGTTGGGTGTAACTGTGTTGGGGCTTCTGAGGCTGGGGGACAGGCGGGCCCCATGTGTCTGGAGGGGGCTGCCTGGGGCACAGGGCAGGACGGGTGTGGCCGGGGGCAGCCAAGAAGGAACGGCCACTGCTCATGGTTCAGCACTTGAGAACCTCTGCCCTGACAAGCACATTGGTCTGGGGAGATAGCGCTCGGATCCCCTCATGCGGGCTGAGCCTGGTTCCGTTCGCCCTGACCCTTTGAGGGGGCCAGGCATCAGTTTAGAAGGTCAGATGGAGGGAGGAGGGGCCAAAGGGGAGGGAGCACCACGTCAGCGCTGCGCCCCAAGCTGCCGTGTAACTTCGGGCAAGTCCCTTGACTCCTCTGGTCCTCTCCCAATCTCTGAACTGGATCAGCACCTACTGGGAACATGCTGTGAATCATCCGGTAGCTTCCGGAACAGCAGCATGGGATGAGCACTTTGTAAGCGTGACGCCCGTTAGGACTGTCAGTGGCCCCGACGAGGTCAACCCCCCCGTGTGGGTGAGGACGCGGCCCTGCCTGGGGTTAATAGCTGGCGCCTGGAGAGCGGAACGGGTGAGCCCGGCCCCGCTCCTCCGCACGGCCCTCGGCGAACCTTGGTGCGCAACACATTTTGTGCCATACGCAACATAGGTATCCAGCCCGCAAACGTTAACACGGTGTGTGTGGGATCGTTCTACCAAGACGAGATGTGCTTAGTGAACAGCTCTCTGGGCACAATACCCTTCGTTGTGGTTCTGCGATGACTTTCTGGTTTCTCGTGGAATGACAGAAGCGTCTTTCTGGTCTCCCCAGGTCATCTCTGCCGTGTCCAGACTCTCCCTGCACCACGTGGCCCAGAACAAAGGGATCAGGTGAGCTCATCGGCGCTGACAAGTGCCGCCCTCTCGTCCTCCCCGCCACCCGCGTGCCTGGCCTCAGATATTAGAGTTTTCAGCAGATATCTTCAGCCCGTGGCCTTATCATGAATTTTCAACGTGGTCTCGTGTTGCCTGGTGGCAACAGGAAGGGGGGGCGGCGGGGGGGGGGGGGCCCTCCGCTTCCCACCAGGGAGATCTTGCACGCGTGTTCGACTGATGGCTGCGAAATCCCTTTTGATTTCGGTAATAAGATCAGCAAATTAATCCTTTCGCAGATCATTGCCTACCTAAGCACACTCCCCACGCATCACAACCCGGGGGGGCTCGGCCGTGAGGGTAGGGACCCGTCCCGCGGGGGGGGGGGGGGGGGGGGCTCAAGTCCCTGGGTTGGACTTCTCATGGTTTTACTGCTTTCAAAGCTCAGCCTCAGAGAATCCTGTCACCCCTGCGGTTTGCCCTCTGGTCCCTGACACGGGACTGGGCGCACAGGCAGCCGGGACAGGGGAGGGCGGCCCCAGTGAGATTCTGGCCCACAGGCGCGGGGTCAGGGAGACGTCTAAATGGGGACCAGGTTCCAGGTCGGGTGGGGACAAGCAGAGGACGTGCCCTTCCTCAGTGTCCCTGGAGGACATGGGCCCAAAGGGTGGGGATGAGAGGTTTGGGAACCCAAAACAGCCCCATCTGAGGGTGGAGTGCCGTGGGGTCACGCCTGGGTGCCCGCGACATCGTGAGGGTGGTCTCTACGGGAGGGACTTCCCAGCAGCTGTGTGGCCTGAGTCTGGGGTCCCAGGACCAGGCCAGCCCAGCCGCCCCTCGGTGGGGCTGTTTGCACAGATTCAGAGAGTCACCGGGACAGATGCAAAGGTTAGGCCCCCACCCCCCCCCATCACTGGAATGTCATTTGTTATGTTGTCAGAGAGAGAGTCCTTTGAACTGGGGGTTTTTGTTTTTTGTTGTAAGTCAGAGACAGGATAGCCTCTTCAAAAATGTCTCTAGGCTCTCCGCTGAATGCGTACAAAAGGGCATTTATAACACGTTTAGGGTAACGCCGTAAGACAAGGCTCACACCCTGGGACACCAGTGACACCTGGACGCCCCTCCCCCCCAGCGTCTCCCACTGGTATTCAGGGTGGCTTCTGTGAGGTCCGCAGCAGGGACGGTTCAAAACGGCTAACTCAGAGTAAGTGTGGTATTTCTGGATAGGAAGGAGCACGTAGTTTTGGTGTTTTGGCTTTTTTCTGGAGACGATCGTCCGTCGGCTCTCCCGCTGGCGGCCCTCCCGCTAGCCCGAGCCGCTACGGGGTGTTGCTGTCCCACTTCCAGTATGTTTCTCGCCTGGACGCGTGTCTGCGTGCCCACGTGGGCGCGAGTGAAGTCCGTGCAGCAGCACTTAGTCGCGTCATTTGCTCGTTGACGGAAGGCTAGAGCCTCATCTCTTCTCTGTGTCCATTTCTCCCCGCGGCAGGCCTGCCGCGGGGAGCCCGGTTACATCCGGGGGCACGCGGACCCGCCTGGCTTTGCCCTGGACGGGCCACCCTGCTGCCTTCCAGGCTCTCCGTGCCCATGCCTCCAGAGCCCGAGGCCGAGTTAACCCTTCAGGGCACCGGGAGGAGGAGGAAGTGAGGGGGAGGGGGGAGGCATTTGCAGCGCAAGAAAGGTCAGGGCCTCCCCCGCCACCTCCGTGGACCGGCACCCTCTGCAGAGAGAGCTCCCGCCTCTCACCTGCGCGCCCTCCTGCCCTCGTGGCCCCGGGACGGTGGGGCTGCCTGGGCACAGCACGCCGAGTTCCCCGCACAGGCTGGGATTCCCACAGGTGACTGGGGATTCTGGGAACCACCAGTGCTCTGCACCTCCTGTGAATCTAGGAGCAGTTTCACAGCGTTAGTCATTTCCTGAGGTTTCGGCTTGGCCAGACCCTTTCCCTTTTTGAAAAGCCAGCCGCCAAGCCCGCAGCCCTGAAGAGCGTCTTCCCCGTTTGTTTCGTGGCTGGATAGGAGCCCAGCGTGCTCCTTTAGAAAAATGATCATTTTTACAGCCGTTGCACTTTGCATAATGAGCTGATTTTCCGTAAAAGCCCCGATTATACTTCTCAGAGGCTGATGAATAGGGGACTTAATCTGAGGGCCCCACCCTGGGGCCAGCCAGAGGACCAGAAGTGAGGCTG